GCAGGTGAGCGTACATAGAGTCAATAACTGCGTCCATGGTCCACCGGACGCTCAAGCAAAGGACGGACGCGCGGTCCATTGGGGATAAACGGTCCAGCCCGACCATGGCCGTGTCCAGAAACTCGCGTACTTGGTCTCGGTGTCTATACAAATATCAATGAGCACGCACGCACGCACACGCATACACACACACAAAGGGTAAAATAACGTACTCCCCGCCCACCGCCCACACCGCCGCCATTTCTGCGCTGGTCGCCGGATCCACAGCACCCCCACCTAAACTCGGTACCTCGGCTGCAAACAAGACGCGTGCCTCGGCGACCCGTCCGCACGCCCACGCGGCCCTCGCCTCGGCTCTCGCCATCTCGGCGTCCCACGGCCCGCAGTACGCGCGTGCGGCCGCAATCCACTCGCGCGCGTCGGCTGCGACCATCGTTCGCGCCCGGTCCGGGTCCTCAGCGGCGGCGCTAGCACCGGCGGTTTGGTGGATTGCAGCCGTGGAGAGCGGGAACGCGGCGGCAACTAGCATGGGAGCAGCTGAGCTGCTCCATGAGGTGGTTTTGGGGGAGATGACGGCGGCGAGCGCGGGCGAGAGCAGCCGGTACGCGGGCAGGTACGTGGGAGACATGAATATGGCCGGGTGCAGCGCCCTGAGTACGCGCACCCACCGGCCCCGTACACTATCCTCGGTTGAAGCTGATGGTGTCGCCTGATCGTGGTGGTGGTCGTCGCCAACAGGCCGAGTTGCACCCATATCCGAGATCATATGTGGGCCTGCCTCGGGCGCTGGCGGGCGGATCAAGTGATACGAAGCGGCCGCGTAATGGGCCAGGACGGGCGCAGTGGCGAGTGCGGCTGACGGAAGGCCCGCGTAAGTACTGATCTTTTGGGTCTTGGTACGGGGAGTGTCTGCAGCGTGCGGTGGGTCATCAGGAGCATCGGCAGACCGGCATCCACCAGACAATGAAGATGATAGGCCCAACTCGGCCGCACCAGGCGTCCCAACGACCCTTGGATCCGCGGCCAGGTCCAGCGCCAGTGCGCGCAGCTGCATGGCACGTGTCACGGCGATGTCGGCATGTGCAGCGCAAGTGGTTCCGCCGTCAAGATGGTCGATGGCACTGCTGGAACTGTTGCCGCCCATTCGGAGCGCGTCGATGGCAAACTGGACACGGAGCGGGTCAGCCGCCGCCGACGGGACCACGGACGACGCGGCCGCCAGAAGCTCCAGTGCGCCGTTAGCGTCGCCGTCGGCCACCCGGTGAGCGATCCGGGCGTCCGTGGCCGCCGGCCATGCTCTTTTACTCCCAGAGGTTGTTGGATCGACATCAAAAGGGACTGGGATAGCCGAGGGCCATACCGCAGCTGCCGCGCACTGAACCAAGCTCTGCGCCAAATCCACTTCCGTACCACTGCCCAGCATTTCCGCCAAAGAACCCGGGGCAATGAGCCGGAACTCGGCCATCGCCCGCACCGCGTCGACCGCGAACGGGTCGCGTTTGGCCGCAGCCACCAAGCACCGCGCCGCCGACTCGGGATCGGCACGGTGGACCAAGTGGAACGTGGCCCGGAGCGCCAGCAGTGCAGCGTGGCGCGAGGGTTCGTGTGGCACCAGAGCGATCGCATCGACCTCATCATCCTCATCCAAGGCGTCGTCAGAGAACGCGTACCGGTCCTCGGCATCCGCTGTCGCGGCGTCCAGCGCGTCCCAGTTGGGCGGGTCGCACTTCAGGGCTGCTTGGCCCGCCAAGATCCGACCGGCACGGCACTGCGGCGGTAAGAGCGAAGTGGCCGCGGCCAGGGCACGGTCCGGGTCGCCCGCGTCGTACAGCGCGGTGGCGAGCGCGTAGGCGTCGTTGTGATAATCATGTTTGGTGGTAGTGTGGGGTTGTACGGAAGCCGAGATGGCGACGCACTGGGTCGCCCAGAAGACTGCGCGCGTGTGGGACCGCCGCGCCATGGCTGCGTCGCGCAGGTCGCGCAAATGCTTGCTGCTGGTGTCCATTCCGAGGTTCCGTTTGATTTTTGATTGAATTTTACCAGAATTGGGAATTTGAAGGCTTCTGATTTCTCATCCAAAGTGTGAGCATCCCCCACTTGCTCGCAATGAGCCGCTTGATCGCATGAAAAAAAAAAAAACACACTATAAAGGACGGGGCCGTTCCCCTCCCCTCCATCAGCCAGACATGCAGCGACCGAAGCCAGGTCGCGGCCGATTTCCCCGCTGTGTTCCCGTCGCCCGAGTCCGAGGTGACGTACACGGCCAGTTTCGGGACGGATTCGGGCAACACCATTGTGGTTCCCAATTCGCTCGTCCAGCTGCGTCCCACCGTGATCGGGGCCGGTGAAGGTCGCAAGATCAGCTATGTGGCCGGATCGCGCGTCGCTCGCCACGTTCTGACCAGGGCGCCGGCCGACCTTGTTGCCGCCGGCGGATCGTCGTCGGCCAAGTCGTGCGAGGCGGCACAGCTGTACGCGACTACGGTCGGGTCGTGATTTGCCTGCAAGCAAGGGGCTGGCGATGCGCCGACCCTCAAGGCCCAGATCGCCAAGGCGGTGGCCCTGGCGGCCAAGGAGAAGCAAGCGGCGACAAAGACCGGCAGCAGAAGCACGTCCACGTCGTCCTCCCTCGTGTCGTCGCTGTCGCTGGTGCGCGCGACCTCGATGTTGGCCAAGTCCAGCTCCGGCACGGCGGCCGATAAGACGGTGCTCAATGAGGCGGGAGCGGTGATGGCAGCGTTCCACCAGGCCGTGACCTCCACCTACACCGCCAACGCCAAGGTGGTGTCCATGGGCGCCATTGCTCCGTTCCAGGCGGTCGAGGAGGCCGCCAGGACCAGCCGCGGTGCCGGCAAGCAGTGGGCCGCCGCCGTGTACGATTTCACCAGCTACGTTCTCAGCCTGCCGCCGTCCACCGTCAAGGGGCCGGCGACGCAGCATACGATCAAGGTGGTGACCCCGCAAACCAACTTGGCGCCCGTCAAGGCGCTGACTGGGTACAAGGCGCTGGTGCAGTCGTCGGTATTTGTGCCCCGCCGCTCCGCCTACGCCCACAGCAACGTATGCACCGAGATCCACAACCCGACGTCGTTGATTGCCATTGGCAAGGTCATGATTTCGAGCTCCGGCATGCCGCCCAAGGACGCGTCGTTCCAGATTGCCACCACCATCCAAACTTCCCCCACCGGCGCGACCGAGAAGGCCCTTGCGGCCGAACTCGCTGGTAAGTACAATGTCGACATTACCCAGACGTTCCAGTTCAAGCTGATGCCCGGATGCAGCCCTGGTGGCGTCGAGCCGGCGGCGTTCGTGTCGGCCGCCACGTGCTACCTGCGCGAGTCGCCCAAGAAGTCGCTGCAGGACGACGCGTTTTTTGATCTTGACTTTGCGATGCCCGACTCGATCGAGGGGTACTCTGCCGACGACGACGATGTGGAAATGTCGATCGACGAGGATGAGTTTGAGGAGGACGACGAGTAGGTGCTGATACTCGTGGTTGATCTTAGTATAAGTAAACCCTTTTTTGGTAAAATTCTTGAACGAGCTTTTGACAGGCTATGGGAAAGTGAGCGTTTCAACGTTTTTTATTATTATTCACGCGTGCAATTGGGCGTTGCAACACCGAACCGACCGCTGCCGCAGCTCTTTTGGCGACCGAATCAATTTTCACATATATACCCCAAAACTCGAACATACAATGCCGGCCCCACCGCGTCTGCGCCGCCGGATCTCGCGCCGCCGCCACCATTCTCACACCACCGCGCATGGCAATGCCGTCCGCCCTGACCCTGGAGCGGTCACTAGCACTGAAATAAAAAGATCCCTGCTGCACCCGCTCATTGCGTACCTATGGCCTCCTCCAGTCGGCACCGCCTGGGCGTCCACCGCCTTCAAGGCCCGCTTGGCGTCTGTCATCACTCGCGTTTTGCGTCCTCTACCGCTGTACCACTACGCGCAGCTGCCCGCCCATTTACAGGACAATGACTGCATTTTGACGGGTCACCGCGCCGGGTACGATCTGCTGGACTGCGTGCGGTCGGTGGCTGCCTGGCACAACGAGACGCTGAATATCTGGACTCATTTGGCCGGTGGAGCGGCGTTCATGGCGTGCGTGGGCGCTATCTGGCGCGCCGCAGTTGGTCCCGATAATACGAATCAAATATCCTGGGTACTGGACGCGGACTCTGCAGTCATGGCGCTTTACTTGGCGACCGTGGCCGTGTGCCTGCTGTGCTCGACGCTGTTTCACACGTTCCACTGCCATGAGGAGCGGCGCGTCTTTGACAACATGGCCATCGCCGACTGTATGTACTCTATTCGCTCTACTATATTCCTACCTCATAAATGGAATATAGATACCGGGATCACCACCCTCCTCTTCGGCAGCTTCACCTCGCTCGTGTACTTTGCATTCCGCCCGCACCCGCACTTACTCCCACTGCCGCTGGGCGTGACGGCCGCGGCATCGCTAGCGGGAGTCGCGTTACCGTGGTTCCCGTTCTTTCGCATGCACAAGTACCGTGCGCTGAGGACGCTGATCTTTGCCGGACTGTGCGTGGCGATCTTTGCGTCGGTGGTGTGGGCGGCCGTGGCGATCGTGCACGAGCTGGCGTCCGGGTGGACGTGGGACTGGGTCGCGGGCGTGGTTGGGGTCGTGGGGTGTTACGGTGGAGGTATGTTTTTTCCCTACTTGGCAGAATGTTTTCCTGACTGTTGATCAAAAGGCGGCGTCATTTACGTGACCCGGTTCCCCGAGTGCTTGCGTCCGGGGGCGTTCGACCACATTGGCCAGTCGCACCAGATCTGGCACGTGCTGGTCATTGGGGGCGCGTACTCGCACTGGCACTTGCTCACGGAATTGCGGGACTGGCGGGTTGCTCAGGACGTTGTTGCCTCGATGGCGGCGGCAGCATTGTAAATACTGTTTCTTTGGATCAAAAAAAAAATGAATTGCATTTTTCTGCTTTTTTAGCCAAAAGAAAGTCGGAAAAAAAAAAATTTGCACCGTGCGGGAGTCGGACCCGGGTCTCTCTGCCTTGGGAGGGTAAAAATCTTAACCGCTGGACCAACAGCGCATATTCTCATCAAATCGAATGATAGATCTCGTGACAGGCGTAAACACTCGACGTCTCGTCATCAAGTCGAGCCGCAAGTGCTGGCACCGCCGCCAACCTGCGTGTGAATGAACAGCACTCCACGATCGGCGTCGTCGTCAAGGCATCGGCAGTGGACTGAACCGTGACTCCAAACGACTGCTGCACGCTCGCCATAATACTCACCATGCGGTCCACGGTAGTCGCCGGCCCGTAAAGAGGAATATCCGACTCGCTCAGTACAACGGCATTGGCCGCAGCAAGCGTGGCCCAGATGTTGACGGCCGGAACACACGCACCCGCCATGGCCACTCCCAAACAGGTCCGAATCGTTTTGGCCGTGACCCAGTCCGGGTTGTTGGTGCTGTCGGCGTCGTCGTGGTCGACCAGCGAGCAGTACCACCACTCGAGAATAGCCGCTGAGTCTCTGCGCTGGGTGATGCGGCGCAGCGTGGCAGCACTTAATCGGAACGGGTGATGGGATTCCATGCACCGCGCATGCCACCACTGGACCGCTGCCAGCTGGCCGTTTCGGGCCGCTGCGTCAATGGCCCCTGTCGCGTGCGTGAGAAGCACATTTTTTTCTCGTGTCCAAAGCCAGGCGAGGATCGATAGGTGACCCACCGCTGACGCGTCCAGGATCGCGTCACTAGGGATCGGACCACCATTCGTGTAGCATTGCGCTAGCAGATCCACCCGTCCGCAGCGACAGGCAGCCACAATCGACCACTCGATCGGCGCCGGCGGCAGTACCGCGCCATCCACCTGCGTGCGCCACCACGCCGACACCGCCGCCGGATTGTCCACCGCTGCCGTCGCATTCATGTACAGCGTCTGCAAGTGCGTGCCGGGCGGAACCGGGTTCATGTGTCCCTTGGCGACCGCCCACTGCAGCGCCGAGAAGTGCGTGCACCAGTCGATCTCGATGCGGGGCATGTTGATCCAGTCCCGCGCCGTCGACTCGGGCAGTTCGGTGGTCGCGCGGTGGCCGCCCTGGACCGAGTGGTGCCAGAGCCACTCGAGAACACGCACCGAGCCGTACTGGCAGGCGATCATCACCATGGATCGGATCGTGTCGGATTGCGCCGCAATGAAGGTGGGCGGCAGGTGCGTCCACCACCAGTCGAGCATGTCGGCGCGGTCTAGGTCCACCAAATGGCCGCGGGTCACGCACGCGCGAAACTCATCTTCCAACTGCTCCACCACCGGCTCATCTGCGACTGCAAACGAGAAACGACCAGCCCGGACTTGGTCGCGAATCCACTGCCGCGCGATCGATCGGCCGGCGCTCGAGGCAGCGTGCATGGCCGCGGCGGTGTTGTCCCGCGTCCATATCTCAGGTACCGTGTCGAGCCACCATTCCATCGCCGCCACGGCAGTGTGGTCGGAGGTCGTTTCCGTTCCTGTTGCCGCTGCCACAAGAACCGATCCGTCCGACATTTGGGCCACTGTCCCGCGGCCAAATATCGACCACCACCAGGTCAGGGGACGCAAGTGACCGTGCTCGGATGCGCGGCACGCGAGGGTCCGTGCGACGTTGATCGCTTGCTGACGACAAAGATGGGGATTGACGATATTCCAGTCCATGGCCGACGAAATTTGATGCATGGCTGCTGCCTGCACCATTGGCCGGACCGAGCGCGGCATTGCCTGGACCATCGCCCACTGCACCGTCTCGAGCCGCATACCATCGCCGTCGCCGCCGCCAAGGGCAACTGCGACATCCATCACCTGGTCGATATTCTCAACCACAACAATGCGAAGGGCTTGGTGGCTTAGAATACCAAGGTCGTTGGTTGCGGCAAATACCAGTGCTGTACCGTGAACCGAGAGCACGGCATCGAGGACGGGAGGGGCCGCGGCGTACGGCACGACGAGCAACAGGTGGTCGGCGTCAAGGAGCGAGGCCGAGGAGTGCACGGCAATGGCAAGTATCTTGCTGATGACCAGTATTGGAATCATATTTTGAAATTTTGAATTTCAGAGGATCGATGCCAGGTCCTCACCGTCCGCCTCGGCTTGCAATTCCGAGAGCTTTTTCCGGAGCCGCGCGTCCTTGTCAAAGATCTTCTAAAACGACGCAGCAAATGGTGGCGAGCGCCGGGTTGTAGGACCAAAACCATCGTACTACCCAGATGCAGGTGGGTGGCCGTTCATGGGAAAATTCCAGGGCAAGCCGTCGTCCATGAATGCCTGGCGCGCTGTCCTTGGGTGTCCCGAGTCGCGTGCCTGGACACTGTCGCTCAAGGTGAAGTCGATCTACACCAACCGAGACATTGACTCTGCAGCTGTCGTGGACCCGTAGCTGCCTGCAAAATAATTATGTGCGCAATGGGCCACAAATCGATCCAAAGTGCAAATGGGACACGCATGAGCACTACCCGGACTTTATTCTGTCGACATGGGCCACCACGAACCCGGCTGGACACGAGGGTCTGTTTATCAAGCACCTCAAGGACTCGCCGGCCATCACGATGCAGTCGGCGTACAATGGTGGTAGCGTCTATGTATCGACAGCCACGCCGAGGCTCTGGGTGACGCAACAGCGCAGCATTTCCCATGTGTCGCTTTTTTTTGGTCCTGCTGTCGCCAGGCTCGGCTTAATAATGTATTTGTTGAATTGGACTTTGCTTTCCCGTCGAGCCAACCACAGAAAACAAGACCGGATACTCGCTCCGCATTGATGCCACTGGCAACGTGCTGTACACGGGCTCCGCTATGGAGCTCCCGGCGCACCTCCGCCCTGCTGCAAGGAGTAAAGACATGTATATATATATATTCAGCCTGTCACCTGCAATAGCTTTTGTGGTGCACGCGAAAAAAAAAAAACTAATCACAATGTGGTGATCTTGATATCGCTATTGACCGTGCCAATGTTGATGGCGCGGTCCTGGGCCGCCTTCGAGTCACCGTTCACGCCGCTGCTTGCGCCCTTGGCACCCATGACGGTCTTGCTGCCACTGGTGGTGCTCAGCGAGTACGTGAAGCTCGAGTTGGACGGCATCTTGACGGTCGCGCCGCCGTCGACGCTGAACAGTTTAATCGAAAAGGCCGAGGTGCTGGTGGCGGGCGCGGCGCCGAGTGTGATCCCGCCGTAGGTGGAATCCAAGTCCACCTTGGCGCCGGCGGCGAGGCTGATGGCGCCTAACTCGATCCTGCCATTGGTCGACTGGGCGTTGAAGATGCCACCAAGGGCGAACTTGGCATCGTCGGTGGTGCGAATGTCCCCGTTGCGGGTCCAAATGTCCACCTTGCTCCACGACTGGCCGGGGCCGCTCAGCTTGATACCAGCATTGGAGGTCGCGACCGACAGGCTCATCTTGGCAGTCAAGGCGGCCGATCCGTCAGGAAGCACAATCGACAAGTCCGTCTTGGTGCACAGGCCGTTGAAATCAAACCGGAGCGCGCGCGTCCAGGACCAAACGTTGTTTGACTGGCCGCCCCACGGGTGCAGCGTCCAGGTGGCGCCGTCGATGTCTGCCGTGTGCGGGTCGGGGTTGCTGCGGGACGTGTACTTGGTCACAATGTAGGTCAGCGTGGTGTTGGACGAGGCAGTGGTCGCGGCCGAGGGTGCCGAAATGGTGTAAGTGCCGCCAAGGCCGATGTCAAAGTCGCCAATGTTGATGGTGCCACCCGCGACCTTGGTCAGGTCCAGGGTGCCCGTCTCGATGGACTTGGGGACGTCGGCCGAGCAGCTGGCGTAGGTGACGCCCGCGGCAATCTGCACACGTCGGACCAGATTGATTTAGTCCGCTCCTCTTGTGGCTGTCCTCCAAAAATGTACGACGTACGCCATAGATGGCGCAAATGGCAAACAAAATGCCGCCTGCGACCAACAAGCAGCGGCATATCCGGGACGAGCAGCAGGAGCAGCAGCGGCCGCCACGGGGCATTCCACGGGATCGCCTCGTTGGGGCGCCAACGCCGGCCTCGGCAGCAGCAGGCGTCGTAAAGGATTTGGACATTATTGGTTTTGATTGATGTGGTATAGATGTAAGAAAGTCATGCAATGCGGCGCCCGCCCGCGCGCGGTCGCTATTTTATGGGGCAGACGGGAAATTCTTTGGCTGCACGCCAGGCGATGGCGCCCGGATATTGCAGGTGGTGTTGTTACCTGTCAAATTCACCGGGATATTTTGGAAAAAAAGTGAAACAATTCTTGGTCCAAGCCACGATAATTTTTACTGGCAACGCCCCTTTATCGCTCGGGCAACGCCCACTTCTCTTTGAAAAGGTCAAATTGTCAAAATGTCGTCCCCACAAGGCACCCAGTGCGCTCTACTCAGCGCCATCCTTGACACGCTCAAGTTCACTGGCAACCGGACAGCGACCAACTGTTGTGCTTGGTCTGGAGTGGTTTGCAATACTGATGGAACCATCAACGCACTGTATAGTCACCATCAACAATTGATTTTTTTGGAGTCAAGAGAGAGCGCGAGACAACACCAAAAAGATCAGAGACCATGAATGAAATATTACAAAAAGCACAAGCTGCTCCGCCCACCCCACGCGCGGCGAATGGCGTCCTTGCCTGGGCCGCTCACTTGATTGTTACCCATGACGAGCTCAGTCACTGAGAGGGGCAGTGCCGACGCAATGGCCCTCCCACCAGGATCGCTGACCCCATTGTTACTCAGGTACAGCGTGGCCAGCGCTGCCGGAAAATTGTCAGCAATCGCCTGTGCGCCAGCGTCCCCGATGCGGTTACTCGGGAGCCGTAAATCCGTCACGGACGACGTGCGCAAGTGTGCGGCGAGCGCCCGGGCCCCGACCTCGCCAATGTGATTGTATGCGAGGTTCAGTTGCGTCAGCGTCCTTGGCCAATGAGCAGCAATCGCTTGCGCGCCGATATCCCCGATCGCGTTAGTGCTGAGGTCCAGAGTACGAAGCGCAGGGGGGAACGCGGACGCAAGTGCATGTGTGCCCTCGGGCCCAATCGCGTTGCCGCTGAGATTCAGGGCCGTGAGCAATGCCGGCAAATA